ATAGCAACCCAAGCAGCATTTGGACGTCGGGACAACGTTGTGTCACGCGACCAAACGTCAGGGCGCAACGTCGGCACAACCTCGTGCCAACCCTAGTCTGCAGTAGTTTGGAGAATAATTTTTGGGTTGAAACAACGTTGGATACGCAGCCTAATTCAGTACCAACTGCAACGTTGTTTAAAATCCTAATTCACAAAAATACAAAACTATAAAAATATGGCGTCTAAGTCGCGTTTTATCCTAAATTGGGATAATTATAGTAAAAATATTATTTTTATGATTTAGTTAGAGACATATGCCAGATGGCAGTAAAGGAAAACAAAACAAAAGTATTTAAGTGTGGAGGATGTTTGAAGATCATAATTATTGAAACACTTTAACCAACTCTTTAACTCGTTATCCAAGACAAAAAAGTTAAACACAAACAACTTTATTGATAAATGTATTGTTTCTACTTTGAAAAATACTAATGGGCCTTAAAATTAAAGAAGTTGTAAAAAATTTCTTGAATTTTATTAAGTAAAATGAGAATAATTTATTCGCAGTCCATTGTTGTTAAAAAAATTGTTTCCGCGTGTTGTTTTGGGTCAAATATTTCAAGTTAATGTATTCAAAAAGCAGGAATTGCTATTTTAGGAACGAAACATTTTCTTATTCAACAACATGGCGGCTTTCACTTTGTTGTTTTGGAGATTAAAATGGAGTAGTTCGAGTAGTCGCGTACTGGACTAATAAAGTGGCAGTTTAGCCTTAACAGGTAGTATACTAGTCGCAAGATTGCCTAGTATAGTCATCCTAGAGTCTAGCTTGTGCCGCCCTCTATATTCTAAATAAACGGGGAGTGGATAAAGTATCGGTAATATGTCGACGTATATTTAAATTTAGTTTTATACATGCCTTTCTTACGTTCCATTTTAATTAAGTTTTTTTTATAAAAACAAAAACAGCACTGAATTAACTGTCTGACTGAACAGAACAATGAAGTGAAAATTTAAGGTTTAAGGTTATGGTTCAATACAGTTGCAAAAAGGTAGTGGCTCGACGTCCTACCAACGTAAGAATAAGGAAATCTAAACAACGTTGGAATTAGTAAAACAGACGATGTTTGCATAACGTTGGAATAGATCCTGAAAGTGACGTCGGAAAACTCTTTATTGCCTAACATTGTAACTACGTTGTCCGAATCATCTTAAGATCACTTAAGCAAAAAAGGTTACAAGACAACGTTTATTCGACGTCGCAGAAGCTTTTACTTTGTTGTAGTACTAGTTCAACGTCGGCACAACGTTACAACAACGTTTACATTTATTTTAATAGCCAAGGTACGGAGCTAACTATTTTTTGTAACTAATCCAACGTTGTATTTAGTAAACATGTGGTCGCAAGTCGTGAAAATGCTAGTTGGCAACACTCAGCATAAGTGAATCAATGCTAGTCCTAGTTTTGCATGACTAATTTTGACGATAGCAAAAAAAATAGAGAGGACACAGGTGTTGGTCTCTTTTTTGAAAGAACTGCGGTTTTAATTTTTAAGGTGGCATTGTATCGACGAAACATAGCAGAAATGCAACGTGTAATCCCCCGTATCCAGGCAAAAGCGAGACGATTCACCGAGTGGCAAGGAATCCCCAACTTTCCAGGCGTTATCTCGCTTAATGCCGCGCGATATAAAAGTAAGTCGTTTGAGTTAGGGCAAAATTGCAAGCTGCGGTTACAATATTACCTAATACCGCGGGCTGTAGTACGTAGAAGACGTAGCGTCTAGCCTAGGCTTTACCGTAATCTCGCTCTTTCTCGCTGTTGTGGCGAGAAAATCTTGTTTAAAGGTGGGATATGTGATACGGCGGAAAATAATGGAAATATAATGGAAATGGATGATGATGTGGTAAGAAAAATTATATTTTATTTTGTGGAAAATGACACTATTCTTTTCAAAAGAAAACGAGCTATTTTCAAGCCGCTGTTATTTCAATGTTTTGTTGGTTAAAAGTATCGTTGATCTGGGCCCGAACTCTGTAACTTAGAAAACGCTAAGCGCTTTTAGACGCTCAGCTTGCATGACGTTAATTTTCGCTTAGCGCGCACTTAACTGCCGATTTGGGTATCCTCATCTGACGTGCTTAGCGTCTTTACTGATTGCGCTAAGCGATTCGAAAACGGCTACCTTAAAGGATCGTTTTGCTTGTCGAACTGTCAGTAAAAATAGAAAATATTGTGATATCATTTCTCTTGCTCTTTATTGAAAATTACTTCTATAAATTTCTCAATAAGTAATCGATAATTTACGACTTGGCAGGTATAAATATTGTTCAAAACATCGAAAAATTTTTCATCGTTTTTCTACATTTGACTATTAGATACCTGAGAAATTGCGATGCTGCCAATATGTGCTCAACGCGTATCCAGAAAACGATTCGCACGACAACGAGAATACCAAAATCGACTGCTTGACGTTCCGCTAATAGAATACTTTCGCTTACCGCTTTGAAAGCGTAACTTTTTTATGTCAAAGTGCCAGAATTCGGGCCCTGTACCTGTGATCAGAATACATAAAATATATTCTGTTGATTCTTGTTCTCTGTATGGTCGATTCGATGTAAATAAAAACGTATTTCAAGTAATTAAAATATATTTCTTTGTTAATGACGAAAAAATACTTATTAGAATGTTATGGTGACCTAGTTATCCAGACCTGACGAGCCGAGCGCGAGACGAGAGCAAGACAAGAGCGAGACGAGAGCGAGACATTTTCTATCCATTTTTTAACGCAAGCCAAACACGTATTAAATTGTCATTGAATATAACAAACGATGGCCAAATAATAACGTATACAGTAATAATTTTTTGTACCTTTAACATGGTATTTGGTTTGTTGTATTTTATTCATCGTCGAGTTTTTTCCCTTTTGGCTGTTTTCCCCTTTATCCCTTATACGATGTTTTTTACATAATACGTTTTTTAACGTTTTTTAGAACAAAATGTTAAATAGAAAAGTTATTGAGAAGGTTAAGAAGCACATTTTAACATTACTGTAGAGTATACAGGGTACTTTAAAAAAGTGTTGCGGAGATAAAATATATTTTCTAATGGGAATACCCTATTTTTAATTTTATTATTAGACTAGTTGAAGCCTGGCGCATCCGCCACGACATGACATCAGGAAAAAAATAATTTTTGTTTTTTGTTTAATTAAATGAAAAACAAAAAATCCGGCGGCGACAGTTTTTAGAAGAGCCAATTAGCTATCTTTTATTAAAAAAGCAACTTTCTAGAGCAAGTCGTTACTTCAGTAGAGACGACACAGATAAACATTAGCATTTTATATATATAGATTATACGTATAGTCTGTCCAACGAGAAGATCCTCGACAGTGATAGATGTGTCTGTCATTTTAATTTCAAAGTAGTTTATTTTATTTTACAAAGAAATAAATTGGTACAACTGGAACGCATAGCAGGAAATATTTAAAATTTGATTGACAAGATGACAAGTGATTACTTCAAAATATTGTGAAAAAAACTGTATAAAACTGAATAAATGTAATCGAGTTATTTTATTTAATAAAAACGGTATGTGTTAATATAAAACAAACAAGAACAAGACACTACATACCAAAAAAATATAAAAAAGAACTATTATTTACTTTCAAGCTTTATGAAACTACCCGCATTTTTCAAGCTTTATGAAACTACCCAATAACTTATCTACAAATACAAATTTGTAATATTCCACAGGAATAAATAAAACAACATAGGTAAATAAAACAAACTATTTTATTAATAATAACACCTACCAAATTTTATACCTTAAAGGTTGATTAATTAACTTTAATCTTAATTTTTTTAAACCAGTACCTTTTGACATTATTTTTCTGCAGTACTAAAATCCATTATTTATCTATCGTGTGATGTCGATATTTTACAGCTACTCGTTTTTAGTATGTGTTTAGTTTGATCCTTCTACCATATACAAGATGCACTTATCTACGACGAAATGGTATACAAACTTTATCGATAGCAACTTCATTGGTGTATAAGACTTTCTGCCCTGGCAGCGAGTATTAACCATAAACTGTGCTCTGGGTCTACAGTTAATTTTCACTCGATTTTTCCTCCACTTGACTTCAAAAGACACAAAACACACGTAATAATACGAATCAAAATGCATCATATTCCAAAACGCAGGGTATTTAACAAAAGTTGACACAAAATTATAACCTAGAATTTGGCAAGACTTTGACAAGCGTCAAAAATGACAAAAATCTAAAGGCGAGTTCATACGCATCGGCGTCCGTTTGTCGTTCATCGTTCCGTCAAACCAATAAAATTGAAATACGATCTGTCATTTTTTAAATAAACCAATAAAACTGGTTAAAAACAACAAGACACGACGCATGACGGATTTATATTTAAACCCATCCATAGATAACTTAAAAATTATTAGAAACTTTTTTTAGTAAAATAAATAGATTGGTATGGGACGTCATCTGCTTTTCTTCTGTCATCGTCTGTCGAAATCTTACCTGAGAAAAAAAACAGAGTATACCTACAATTGAGTAACTTTTTTTGCATATTATGATATTACATATCTAAAATTAATAGATTTTGTAATAATTCAATTTTTTTAAAGAAATGTTAGATTTCTGTACGGTAAAAATTACCAGTGACGCAAAATTTGCAAATTCTATCAGAAAAAATCATAATGAATACGGTGTACCATTTAAAAATTTGAGATTACTTAATTTTAAATAGTCGAAATTCATAAATAGAGCTAATATCTCGCAGTCGAGCGAGCCTACCAAAAACACGTCCAGAGTTCAGACTTAGCCGCAAGCTTTCTTTGATCTCGGCCGTCGAAAAACCGACAGGGGACGGAGAGCAACGAGCCTCCGTGGGTTGTCTAGCGAGGCTCTCGCGAAACCCGTCCTCACTTAGCGAATTTGGAATGTCTCGCGCTCGTCTCGTCAGATCTGGACGCACCTTTATAAGTTTAAAGCTTACCTGTAATAACGACGGCAATGTTTCTTTTCCAAACTCCTCCATCATACCGTTGGTTGCGTGGAGTTGTTGGACGTAGGCGTTGTGACCATTGAAGTAAGCGCTTAAGCTTTCCGTAGTGGGGTTTGACAAGTACGCCAAGTAAGCACTTTTGTACTCTTGTCTAGTCTGGAAAAAAAAGAGTCAGCAGTGATATCAGTACTTCTATTACTCTAGATTTCATAAAGTTACAAACAACGTTTGAAAAAAAAATACTTCATAATAAAAAGAATGATAAGAAAAAACAAACAAAAAATAACAGCTTTAAATTAAATTTTGTGTTTCATTTGTTATTACATTCTTCTTTGGAATAAAACAAGCCTAGGAACGAATCATAAATAAGTTAATTTTTAATTTAAATTGTATTCAGAAAGCACAATCAAGCATAACGAAGCTTTTCGTACGGCATAAAAATAATAATAAATCAAAACTGTATAATGGAACAATTTTCTGTGGGAGAATGATTTTTATTTCTTCGTATTGAGTAAGGCTGCTTTGTAAATTAGTTTACTGAAATATGAAGAAAGTAAATAACGTGTATACCTTTGTATCGAGTTTATTTCTTTAAAAAGAAGAAAAAAGTGTTTTTAAAAGAGAAAAATGTTGTTTTTCTATAATTCATAAAATAAAGTAACGAAGAATATAAAAAAAAATAATAGGAAAATATTATATCAACATTCTGGAAAATAATACTTTGTTTTATAATTTATTTTTAATTTGTTTTATAAAGTTAATGAAAAAAGGCTCTTTTTCAGAATATACTGTTGCGGACCCGTGTGGACTCGACCTAACCTAACTATATGTCCCGCCCTCAGATGACCTTAACATCGCATTAAAGAATAAACACCGTTATGATTCATTCGTTCGAGAAGAATCGAGTCCCACTGGAATGGACTAGTACATACGAGAACATTCGAAAACCTTCTCTACGCACCTGACGATCTATGGACTATTCTAGAGTTCTTTACCTGTCGGTATAAAAGCCGGCGGCTGTGGCCTACAGGGGGCAGTTATAAATAAACAGTACAGTTGACGCGCTAAAGTTCAAAATGAATTCTTAGTTATAAATCGTTTGTAAATAGTTCTATAAGTCTTTTATCGTTATTGTTTTTGTTAATTAGTGTTAAATAAATAGTGTTTAAATAAATTGTGACTTTCTATCCACACGGAACCGACGAAAAACGTAACAATTGGTGTCAGGTGTGGGGTGTGTGATAGACCAGGAAAATAAAAAGACAGACAATGGCTCCGAAAAAATTGTTGAAAGACTTGAAAGTGTCGGAATTAAAATCTATACTGGAAGAGAGAGAGAGTGCGAGACAGATGGAAAGAAAAGCATTTTGCAAGCTAGATTGAGAGACGTTTTGGTGGAGGAAGGTGAGGATCCTGACACATTTTGCTTTGAGTTGGAAGGTGACCTTGACTCGTCATTAAAAAATTTGCAAGACAATTTAAACGACAATTTGAATAGTTTGAATAATAAAATTATGGAAAATTCCCAGGATTTGCAAGAAACTTTAAATGATAAAATGAATATTTTAGAAGATAAGATCGCAGAAAATTCTAAAGATATACAGGCCAGCTTCAATAATAAAATATTGAATTTAGAACAAAGTTTATACAACAAGATAACAGAAAACTCCAGGGAATTAGAAGAAAAGATAATAGATACACAAGACAAAATAGCACAGATTGAGGACGATGTTAACAGAAAAATCGAAATTTTAAAAGAAGAAATAGCGAAGTCAAATTCACCAAAATGTCAAGAAACATCGGAGACACCGAAACTAGTCGAAAATAAGTATATCTCAAAGTCAGTTATTAAGCCTCCACAGTTTGACGGAAAAACCGCTTGGGCCAATTATTTTTGCCAGTTTGAGGCCGCTGCGAGAGCGAACGGATGGACAATCGCTGAAAAGGCTACCGCTTTGACTGCGAGGAGATGCGACTGATATCCTGCAGACATTGTCACCATCGGAACAGGGAGATTATCAGCAATTGGTACGACATTTAGAAATGAGGTACGGCCAAGCTCATTTGGAACATGTCTATCATTCCCAGCTAAAAAATCGCATTCAAAAGTCAAATGAGTCTCTGCAGGAGTTTGAAGCCGACGTAGCCCGCCTCGTTCGCCTTGCGTACCCTGCTACGCCAGAGAATGTTATGCAGCGGTTGGCAGTACAGGCATTCTCCGACGGCTTACGTGACAAATTAATTTTATTAAATCAAAATAGGGTTATCAAAAAGTTCTTACAACAAAGATTATATTTAACAACAAAAAATTGAATTTGATTTAGAGGTACCTATAGAGACTTACTAAGCTTTTGTATTAGAGTTTGTTTTAAGTTGATTATTATTTTTGCCTCTTACTTTATGACACGGATTAATCCACAAAAAACACGACACCTTTTAGATGTCAACCTACAAGAATTTTAAGCTGGAAAGTTTCTGGAAACCCCAGAAAGCGTTTACATTGTTCGCGATTCTCGTCCGGCTTAAATCCACAAAAGTTTCTTTCGTGTTCCATAAGTTCTAATTAAGCTTCTCGCCACCAACTACTCACTTCCTTAGAGCAACCAAAGAGAAAACCAAAGTTGGATTAAGGATGGTCGCTCTGAGACGAACACAAAGTTAACAGGGACAATACAGTTATTTCAGTGGCGCCTCCAATATTAACTTTTCAACGAAAGAATAGAAACATTTGTGAAAAATTCAATTATGCTTTCCTTTATTTTTCCGAAGTAAGTAATTTTTCTGAATAAATATTTGGAAAATTATAAACGGGATTAACCATTTTAGAGAAAGGAAAGATTTTTATAAAGAATGCATTTATCTCAAAATGTTAGTAATTAAAAAGTTTTTCATCTCTTGTAAAAGGTAATCCGGGGACATACTCTGAAAGAGAGTTCCCAAGTAGCATTTTCACGACGTGCGACCACATGTTTACTAAACGCAACGTTGGATTAGTTACAAAAAATAGTTAGCTCCCTACCTTAGATATTAAAATAAATTTAAACGTTTCTATGACGTTGTGCCGACGTTGGACTAGTACTACAGCAAAGTAGAAGCTTCTGCGACGTCGAATAAACGTTGTCTTGTAACCATTTTTGCTTAAGTGATCTTTAGGTGATTCGGAAAACGTAGTTACAACGTTGGACAATATAGAGTTTTCCGACGTCAGTTTCAGGACCTATTCCAACGTTATGCAAACGTCGTCTGTTTTACTAATTCCAACGTTGTTTAGATTTCCTTATTCTTACGTTGGTAGGACGTCGAGTCACTACCTTTTTGCAACTGTTTTTGTTTTTATAAAAAAAAACTTAATTAAAATGGGACATAAGAAAGGTACATATAAAACTAAATTTAAATATACATCGACATATATTACCGATAGTTTATCCACTCCCTCGTTTATTTAGATTATAGAGGGCGGCACAAGCTAGACTCTAGGATGACTAAATTAGGCAATCTTGCGACTAGTATACTACCTGTTAAGGCCGAACTGCGACTTTATTAGTCCAGTATGCGACTACTCGAACTACTCCATCTTAATCTCCAAAACAACAAAGTGAAAGCCGCCATGTTGTTGAATAAGAAAATGTTTCGTTCCTAAAATATCAATTCCTGCTTTTTGAATACGTTAACTAGAAATATTTGACCCTAAAAAACACGCGGAAACAGTTTTTTCGACTGCGAATAAATTATTCTCATTTTACTAAAAAAAAATTCAAGAAAAATTTTAAAACTTTTTTAATTTTAAGGCCCATTGGTATTTCTCAAAGTAGGAACAATACATTTATCAATAAAGTTGTTTGCGTTTAACTTTTTTGCCTTGGGTAACGAGTTACAGAGTCGGTTAAAGTGTTTCAATAATTATGATCTTCAAACATCCTCCACACTTAAATACTTTTGTTTTGTTTTCCTTCACTGCCATCTGACATATGTCTCTAACTAAATCATAAAAATAATATTTTTACTATAATTATCCCAATTTAGGATAAAACGCGACTTAGACGCCATATTTTTATAGTTTTGTATTTTTGTGAATTAGGATTTTAAACAACGTTGCAGTTGGTACTGAATTAGGCTGCGTATCCAACGTCGTTTCGACCCAAAAATTATTCTCCAAACTAGTGCAGATTAGGGTTGGCACGAGGTTGTGCCGACGTCGCGCCCCGACGTTTGGTCGCGTGACACAACGTTGTCCCGACGTCCAAATGCTGCTTAGGTTAAGAAATCAGGGGGCACGCACGCGGCAGTGTCAGCTTTAAGCTTATAACCAAAGGGAAAAATGAAAAATCTCGAAATATCCTTATGGATTAAAAGTTAGCTGTCTCGCCGCTCCCGGTAACTGGCTTTCCAGTCGAGAAAAAGGTAGAAAACTAGAATTAATCGGAGCGGTCTCTTCTGATTTTATTTATATATCAATGTACCAACAATAATTCAAAGATTATTATTTTTTTCTAATTATGAATATCAAAAAATAAAAGTAACAAAAAGTATAATAATAAAAATGTCGAAAGTTAAAAGCTACCCCTATTTAGAGTGAATAACTTAACTAAAAAATATATACAAGTTGTTAATTTGTTTATTACTCGCGGCAAAAGCTTTATGGTTGAAACAATGACGCGACGGAACGAGTCGGCAGAAAACTCTGTAAGTGCATGCGTTCTCAATAAGCAGTGTTGCCATTCTGTTCCCCTATAAGTAACTGTCCAGTTAACAACCTGTATATAATAAACCTACAAATGTTACGTATATGAGATATTCTCGTCTCGTACCTTAGCTAACTTTTCTTCGGTCTTGGCAATTATAGTCTCGTAGCTCTCCCTGTGCGTGAACACTTTCCTCGACTGGATTTTCCTATAAAACGATCTGTCGAGCATCGGCCTGGATACCTGACGGACTAGAATGGATGCTATGTCACCCATTGCCTGGAATATAACAAATAAAACATCGTATAGTAGTGTACAATATGATAATATCGTAGTAGTAACAGTGCCTTCGTATTAACGTATGTCCTAAAATGTTTAGTTTCGGAAGTTTCATTTTTATTTCGATTCTTTCCGAATAATTTCGGAAGTAACATCAATATTTAGATGAAAATTGGTATTTGGGAGTTTTTTGACATGAGAAATTTGATTTTGATGTCAATATGACTCCCATTTGTAGGGGGCGCTACCTACATATGTTTTAACTGTTTTGAAGAGTAATAACTTTTCACCCGTACCTGTATAAAACTACTGGACGCAAAAATATACAATTCCGTGATTTTTTAAGTAAAAAATCTCTCCTGGTAAAAATTGCACCGAGCAACCGTTCTCAGGATATTTAGAATGGAAATAGTCAATACATTTCATTATGGACAAAAAATAAACCTGTTGAGTAGATTAGTTAGGTATTTGACTGAAATGATAAATTTGAGAACTTTTCATTTTTTTAAATTAATCATAAATTTTTCTTAGAAAAAATGACGATAAAACAGTTTCTGTTGAACTTTTGGCACAAAAATATTTTAAATTTATGATTTTAGTAATAACTATTCAGTCAACACATTTAATTTATGTCAATGATGACAGGTATTGATAATTTCGATTCCAAATAACTCGAAAACCATTACGCGTAGCGATTTTTACCAAGAGACCTATTTTACGTAAAAAACGTCATAAATGTATATTTTTTACTCAGTAGTTTTATACAGGTACGGACGAAAAGTTATTACTCTTTAAACCGGTTAAAAATATGTAGGTGACGCCCTCTCCAAGTAGGAGTCATATTGACATCAAAATCAAATTTCTCATGTCAAATAACTCCCAGAAACCTTTTTTTACTTATTTCTATCTGTGGAATATGCTGCCGAAGTTTCCGGAGTACAGTTCGAACCACCCTGTATATTTATACATATAAATTATTTACAAAAACTACATTAAATAATTGTAGTATTGTATGAATTAATTAGAAATAAGTAAAATTGGAAATGCAGTTATTTTATAATTGCTTAAAAAGCATTATGTATACCTTGCAATTTTTTTATCCCCCTGTATATCTACTAGACTATGAATATAATGTTAAACCTGAGCTCGTACTATACTTTTATCCCTGTTTTACTCTATCGGAAATCTTTCGACATATAGAGAATAAAGCTAGAGTAAAGTATGGCAAATTTAAAAGCACTTTGAGGTAAAATCTTCCCTTTACTTCGGTGTATGCGTTCCACTTGCACATGATCGACACAAAGTGTACGTTCAATGTGAATCTAGACAAAGTAAGTACGTACACGATTTTAAAACAACTCTACCGGGACTGGGTATAAAAGCTGTCAGGTGCATGCGAGACATTTTGAACTACGACATGAAAATTTCTTTGCTTTTATATATGTTACAGTAAAACTTGGAAATCACTGTTAACAATTACTACTAAAAGCTCACATTCACTGATTTGCTAAAACTACGCCAGTAAAAGTTCAACAGCTATTTGTAAAACAAACTTTTACTAGTGAATGCTAGCATTCCCTGGACAAAAGCAGTGAGTTTGAATGATTCAGTTAGCGCGATTGCCACATGTTGTAAAATATAAGGATAAATAAGGATAAGTTGAATAATAGGTTTTGTTAATGGACCACCCTGTATAACATGCTATTTCAACATATCGTAGTAAAATCAAACTTTCGTGATTGTTTTAGAGAGTTTAATCGAAAACTCAATTATTTCCCTAATTACCTCCCAAACAGAACTCCCCGTTTATCTAAAATATTAAATTATAGCGGTATATAGATACGTATCTTCCCTCGTTAGATAGATAGCGTATACGCGACCGCTGTTGTTGATGCCACAGAATATCTATTACCTGCGAATCGATCTCCACCTCCTGCAGCAGGGCCTCCCAGGTATGAAATAATGAGCTGGGGCATGCGGGTCTGAAAATGAGAAAAATAAGGTTAGATAAGAAATATTTTAGGGGTGCTGCTGGTGCTGATAAGAAAGAGAATGTAACATTTGAACGAGATGACAGATTTATTTTTGAATTCATTTTTAGTTATTTTTTATACAAGAAGATAAAATGGTATTTTATCGTCGACCGAAAATATTAATTCACGAGCGATGATATCGCGAGTATGTAATTTGACAAATAAATAAACCTTTAGTTTTTTTAGTTGTCAGTTTTGAGTCAATATTTTTTAATTCTCTTTCGTGTCTATTGCTGATTGAATTGAAGCCAGAAATGGCTCAAAACGAAATAAGTAAGTTACCAACAGATATTCAGGCTGAGGCGACAAACGCCATATCCAAACTACTTCCATTTAAATCGCGAATAACTTATGAAAAGGAATACAAACATTTTCAAAAATGGAAGCAATTAACAAACGTGCGAGAAGAAATAAAGTTTTTAACCTATCCTCTCTGTTAAAGTATCATTTAATCTACCCTTTCGGTTAAAGTACTATTTTATCTACTATTTTTGATAGATATAAGGCAATTTTAACAGTCAAAAATAGCTATTTATGTAACTAGTACCTAAAATGATGTTTTTTAGGACGAATCATTACTGTTTGCGGACGAGGCGTTAGCCGAGTCCGAAATAGTAGATGAGTCCTAAAAAACATAATTTAGGTACGTGTTACATACACTATTTTTTGTCATACGCTTTTTATAGTTTTTTAGAACGCATATTTGCAAATTTTCCATATTTGAAATTATAATGTTTGAAAAAAGTTGGCTTATAAATTCATATCTTAGTAACGAGTTTGTTTATTTCATCGCATTTTGACATGTCATTCGAAATTTGTCACAAAATCACACAAATTCATCAACAATTTTAAAATGTTCCAAAATCCCGAACATATTGCTAATAAGGCCAAAGAAATCGTGTTGGATTTACTTCCTGTGAAGTCTCGTGCCATTTACCAGAAAGAATATGATGTTTTTAATGAATGGAAAGACAAAAATGGCGTATTCGTTGTAAATGAAGATGTATTGCTAAATTATTTCCACGAAAAGTAAGTACCTAGGTACCTATTTAAAAAGAGGCTTTTAAATTAAAATATTCTTAAATTACAGTCACAAACATTCAAACCATCGTCAATTTGGTCGAAATATTCCATGCTGAGAGCAGTGTTAAGTGTTAAAGAAGATATTTATATTGACAAATTTCCAAAACTTATTGCTTTTTGAAGAGGAATTCGGTTGGTTACGAGCCTAAAAGTCTAAGGTTTTGTCCATAAAAGAGATCGGTGATTTTTGGCCACGGCTAGTGATGAAACTTATTTACTTACTAAGGTAAGTTTGCGATAATGATTTTAAAATATATAGATGGTTTCTTATTCCATTGTATTTGATTTTTAGGTAGCTCTTGTCATTGGCCTTTGTGGAGCATGTAGAAGAGAAGAATTGTACTCTCTACGAGTGCAAGACATCATAGAAAAAGACAACAGCTGCCTTTTAGTTACCCTTGCGGATACAAAAACTAATATCAAAAGAGTGTTTCCGGTGGTGAACGAAGGGAACGTTGTCAATCCAGTTGAGTTGTATAGAAAATATGCTTGTCTTAGGCCAAAAAATGTACCACATGATTATGTCTTCATCTCTTATCGTAAAGGAAAATGCACCGTGCAACGAGTCGGCATTCATTCATTTGGGAAGATGCCATCGATTGTAGCAGCATTTTTAAAGTTGTCGAACCCAAACGAATATACAGGTCATTGTTTCCGACGTAGTTCTGCTACTCTTGCTGCAGATGCAGATGTGGATTTTACATCGCTGAAACGCCTAGGAGGTTGGAGGTAAAAATTTTAATATTTTCCGATCTTGTTCTAAACAACAATAATTATTTAGGTCGTCCACAGTGGCCGAAGGTTACATAGAAGAATCTATTGAGAAAAAGAAGAAAGTTTGCAAACTGCTAATGGGGGAAAAGAAAATCGCGACCACTTCCACGGATGTATTACCAAGTACATCATCGTTCGCATTTACTCCACCTCATCAGAAAGTAAATTTACCTGCCAATGGAGGAGTCGTTTCGATTGCAGATGCAAGTTTTCAAAATGCACAAAATTGTTCATTTCATTTTTATTTTTCCAAATAACTTAGCTTTTGATATTGTTAGTATTTAATAATTTAAAAATCAAATACAATGGAATAAGAAACCATCTATATATTTTAAAAATCATTATCGCAAACTTACCTTAGTAAGTAAATAAGTTTCATCACTAGCCGTGGCCAAAAAATCACCGATCTCTTTTATGGACAAAACCTTAGACTTTTTAGGCTCGTAACCAACCGAATTCCTCTTCAAAAAAGCAATAAGTTTTGGAAATTTGTCAATATAATATCTTCTTTAACACTTAACACTGCTCTCAGCATGGAATATTTCGACCAAATTGACGATGGTTTGAATGTTTGTGACTGTAATTTAAGAATATTTTAATTTAAAAGCCTCTTTTAAATAGGTACCTAGGTACTTACTTTAAACAAATAACTTAGCTTTTGATATTGTTAGTATTTAATAATTTAATTATAAATATATGTATAATTTTATGTGATTTTGTGACAAATTTCGAATGACAAAATAAAACAACCAAATAACGAATTTAGACATTTTAGTCCATAAAGGTTGCCATGACGACCTTTACGGCCTAGGCCGAAAAAGAAACATTTTACGGACTGAAATGAGTCCGTAAAATAGCTGTTTTTGGGAGCGTATGACAAAAAGTAAATTTTGAGTCTACATTTGTCGAAGCAAAGTTAATAAGTTCTTTAACATGATAAATTTTCTACTTTAATTATTTTTTCAACATTAAAAATAGAAACTTCTATTTTCAGGGTCATTTTTGACAATATTTATAGACATATTAATTAAATGGATTATCTTATGTTCAAAATTTATAAACGTTAAAAGCTAGACCGAAACTCTTAATTTTCTAGACAGTGTATAAATATATAATGCCTTCACCTCAGGCCAGAATCTATTTTTAAAAAATGCACTTTTATTAGAAAGTTTTTCTGGACCACGTTCAAGAAATGTCAAGGTAACCGCTAAGTATCTTTCAATAATTTTTATTTAGGTACATCTTTCTAACGGTAGAAAATTCCATTATTTTTTAGAATAAGTTTAGTAGATTCTAAAGTTAGAAGCCTAGATTTTATACCGTAACATTTATACAGGGTGAGTCTTGAATAAGTGCGAATATTTTTAGTGGTGGTATATTTCGACCCCAGAAACACAATGAGGAAGATGCATATATTTTATTTTTCGCCAGAAACTGTTCAATTTATTAGAATAAATATGTGTAAATGCAAAAAAAACTTTTTTCTTGAAAGCAGTACCACAATTTTATAAAACGGGCCATTAAAATACTATGGACAACGCAAACGACGCCTCGCGAATTGGAACGATATTCTATTGGTCTGACGTCACCCGCCGTTCTCGTCGATGCGCGATGGCCAGCAGCAGCCAGACTTGTTCCGTTTATGTACGTATTTAGGTGGCGTACTAAGACATTTTGTTGCTTTTAGCGTTGATTGAAAGAGTTTTTTATGCTTTTTTTGTGCAGTTATTATTTGTATGTGTTGTGTGTTCTGAGAATTTTTTAAGTAATGGCAGTAAACGCACAATCAGATAACTTGCCACAAGTCGATCCTTATATGTTGGCTGCTTTTATAAATACAAATTCCCAATCTATTGGTGCTGAATTACGAGGAAAAAAACAGAGAGGTATGTAACATTTATTCTTTGTAGTACTGAGGCATATTTAAGTATAAGTAGGTACCTATACTGTTACGAACTTTTATATAGTTATAAATATTAATGTTATAAACTTATTTTTCAGATTAGGTAGGGAGACATATGGAGGTAATGCTGTAGGTTATGTAGAAGTGAAAAGAGACAAAAATATTTGTTTAGTACGTGGAAAAGTAACTCCAGAGCATAGCGTGAAAAAGAAAGTTTTTTTTTATATATTGACACCCCCTTACCTTTGTTATTTTTAAAGATTGTTTTTTTTTTTTAAATTATAGGAAATAAATTGTTTATCAGTAATGAAAATATTATACAAGGTGTCCCATAAGTAAACGCCAAAATTAAGTTACTTTTTTAAGTGAAACACCCTATGTATTTTTGGATTCTTCGGAAGTTTCTAGACATTCTAGATATATTTCATGTATAATATCCTATACCTATCTTCAAATGTTTACGAAATATTGACAGTTGAAAAGCAAAAAATACCTACAATTTTCTGGACCACCTTTTTTGAGACCCTGCGTATCTAGAATTAATTTTAAAAGAGAGTATATGAAAAACCATGCAACTTTTTTATTTAATGTTTTCTTCTAAAACTTGCAGTTAAGGCTATATGTGGGTGTCAAAATATAATGAATAACCCTGTGCATTCAAATTTCATATACCTATGTAAGAGAATATACATAAATATATGAACTTACATCAAAATGATCTTTACAACAATAAATCGTAAAAATAGAGGATAATTTAACGTTTTTCTTTTCATCTCTTCTCATGGCCTTGGACCATTTTTTTCTGTTTTCGCTCATCCATTACTATTTATAAATATCACTAATTACTAATTATGTATTAATTACCCCAAATAACTAAAATTTTGACTCGGATTCAACAGCGTTTAAAAGCAAACTGTGTAAAATAAACACGCGTCTGGCTCCACTCAACCAGAAGAACGGCGGGTAACGTCACAGCGGCAAGGCGCGGTAGAGAGCGTTTGCCCGGCCATTTAAATTAACAATATTTAATTATTTTATATTAGAGGCATTTCTTAACGATAGGATGGTAATTTCCTGTTTTTGATAGTTCCTATCTAGGATAAATTGCTGCGATAGCGTAAATTTCTGCCCGAAGGATACTGGATTAGGTGCACATATGGGATAATACAGGTAATTCTGTTCCAACTGT